AACAATCATCTATTACGTCCCAAAAAATCGCTATTTGGGACTATCATTGGGGGTACTTTTCTATAGCTTAACAACATGTTGACTAAGCAAAGCCCTGATTGGTACATGCTAATNATCAATGTCTTAATGAGAACATGAGGACTTTCCAGGATCTGAGTATGACGACGACTATGGTAAAGGGCACCACGGCAAGGAGCATCACGAAGGCGGTTTCGAGTATCACGACGGCGATCATGACCATGGGCATCATGGACATGATCACGACGACGATCATTACGGCCATGGACACCATCACCATCACCACCCTCATGACCACCACCACCACCACCACCACCATCATCACCCCCATGGACACCACCATGGTTTCGACCACGATGGCCACGACCACGACTTCGGTCACCATGGCCATCACCACGGTATGGTTTTTCATTATTTTGAAACGCCATAATAGTTTTAAAAAGTATTAGAGTATTAAGTGCTACAATTCAGTCCATGACAGTAGAATCCGGCTCTAAAAAAATCCGGTAATTTTCAGGTCACGACCACTACTGAGGTCCCATCAAAAACACTCTCCTTCTCGGTGCTCAAACGTTACTGTTCAGAGTTCTGTGAAAATAAATATTTTTAGGTACAATTAGAGATTGTTTTTCTTGTAAAGCTCGAGACAGCATACATTGCATCTTTTAGAAGAGGCTTTAAAATCACTGGAAACACGGTTGATACTTTAAGAATCGATAAGGACTTTTCAAGCCCTCAATGATGTTCATGCTCCTCTAAATAGAACACTGCAGCCGCTTTTGCTCCAACGCATGTACTGCAAGGCGTTCGCATCATTCGCTGTGACCCAAAACAAATTAGAGCTGGTAGCTCTATTTCCTTTTTATGGCAAGACGACAGCAATGGACGTCGTGTGATCTCGAACGATTATACATATACCGGCTCTCCAACAAAGTCCTAACATCAAGACAAAAAAATCAAATCAAAAGAAAATCGGAATAAAAAAGAAACCAAATATTTTTGAGAAAAATGAATGGGAGCCGAATTCATTTTACGAACACCGAGAAGTAAGACAACAATACGGAGAAGCCAAAATTCCAAAACAGTGAGGAAAATGGTAGCGGTCTGTTTCAAATAAGTTGAACATTTGGTCGATAAGAGGAAAGAATATGGTTCACAAACAAAACGATCTCAACAATTTCGATTGTTTGTTGTGTATCAACCTACGTCGTTCCGTTGAGGTTGCAAATTTTGTGGGACTGCTTGACAGAATCCACTAGAGGTGGAATAAGCAAGCGAACTACGATGTTGAAGTCACACAAACCCTTCCATATCCAGTGACGATTTTTTGACGAGGTAAAATCGGTGTCTGGGGTATGAAGAGGTGAACAAAGTTACCCCTAGACAGTAACTTTATTTCATGATACGTTATACGATATAGGGCAGAGGCGATGCAGTGACAAGGGCGCACTTCACACACCCATGGTCACGGGTTCTAATCTCGGATTGATATCCTCCTAAGCCAGCCATGCCTTCCATCCCTTCAGCGTCGGTTTATTGGTACCACACTCGTATGGGAACATAAAAAACGCTAGCATGTACATTGGCCGGACACCACAGGTCCTTGTATAGGCCACATACGCATTCCATACGCCACTGCTATTCTGGATGGAAGTAAGTCAAATGCGGGGCACATCCCTTATACGCAATTGTGAGCTCGCTATGAATAAAACAATGGAACTGTTGTTCAGAATGTGTTGACAATATCAAATACATGGCGCATCCTCGATTTGGTGCTCTTCATCTATACAACAATCATCTATTACGTCCCAAAAAATCGCTATTTGGATGTTGACTAAGCAAAGCCCTGATTGGTACATGCTAATAAAGTCAAGTGACTGGACCATTGTCAGGAAATTTTATTCGCGGCCCTTCTTATGTGCATAGACAAGAGTGCACACACAGTAATATATCTTGAATCACGCTTCCGAGGAATGATAACAGCTATATGAACAGTGAAGTAGGCTGGGCCCTCGTACGTACGTCCTTAATTTTCTAGGTAATCGTTGACTCATGGAAAATCGAAGAGATTGATGATTGATCAAGTTTTGTTTCAACTGATAATGGCGTAAGATATAATCAGTTTCCTTCAAAACTCCAGTACTCGGGAAAATGAGTAATTACAAGAGATAAGCCATTTTGGTGCACTCGTTGATCTAATCCGGTATTTTCCACTGCTAAAGTGACCTTCTGTGATTCACGCCCCTTGCACAGCTGTCTTATACACTTGGAAGCCATAGACGCATTTGTTCTCTTCCTTAGAATAATCCTCATCAGATTGCGTCTGCTGATGACACCACCTTTTTCAACAGTTTACGTTTCAGTTACACTTTATGTAACTGATCGAAGTAACAAAACCGCACTGCTAAGTCGAAGAGCATCAAACAGCGTTGAGTGGTCTAATGGCTCCTGCACTACCAATTCTGATCAATTGCCACTTAATCTGTTGGATCACGCCTGTGATTCCGTTTCATTCCACTTCGACAGCCGTTATGCAAAGGCTCCCATCTCGAAAAGCTTCATGGAAACAGCAACTATTCTCATCTAGGGTCTTTGTCAGCCAATTATTACCACTTCCATGGCTCACCAGCATCAGGTATATGATGTATGCATGGGGGCGTACAAGCCAAACATGAAGTAATGATGGTTTATCGACAGGGTACTTAATCGACAGTGGGTTTCGTTTTTCCATTCGCACACTCTGAAACGCTTCATGCCAATGAAATTCTGTCAATACTGCGTCCTGAAATCCTAGGCGAAGTTTTGCCGTAATAATTACCCAATTAATTTCAACATTAACGGCTTCGCAGACATGCAGAACAACGGAAACCTGTAGGCTCGAGATGAGGTTTTTTGAAGCATAACCAGAACATGGTTAAAAGAAACAATCCTTAACATTGATCTCTGAAGTAGAGCGAGGTATATAAGCTCAATCATAACTGTAGAGAGCGCCCTCCTCTTCCTTGTCATTCGTTCTTGATGATGAGCACCAACGCCATTTTCTTAGCAGTGCTCGGTTTCATTTGCTTCTTCACTGAAAGTGGTAAGACAAAGATCATCACCGACAGCATCCCAATGAGGTTACAGCTCTTTCAGACGCAAGCCCGCACCATCCACACCACTATGATTCCGGCCACGGCGAACATGGTGCTGGCCACCATGGACACCACCATGAATCCGAGTACGGCGATGGCAATACCAGAGGCTTTGACAAAGGGGGTCTTGGCGACTACGGTAGTCACAAATACGGAGGATGGGGAGGTTTCGCCAAGGGGAAAAGCTATGGATCACACTATGGTAATTTTATGGGAGTGTGTTCGACCGTATACGAGACTATATCTATAGCTTGATTTTCAGGATCTACTTGGGGTGACGACTTCGGTAAGGGACATCACGACAAGGAGCACCATGGAGGCGGTTTCGAGTATCACGACGGCGATCATGACCATGGACATCATGGACATGATCACGACCATGATCATCACCCTCATGCACACCATGGCCATGGACACCATCATGGGGATCATCACGATTATGGACACCATCATGACTTCGATCACCCTTATGGACATGATCATCATCACCACGACCACGACCATGACGGTCACGGACACCATGGTCACGGACACCATCATGACTTCGACCACGATCATCACCCTTATGGACATGATCATCATCATCACGACCACGATCATGACGGTTATGGACACCATGGTCATGGGCACCATCATGGTGATCATCACGATCATGGACACCACCACGACTTCGACCACGATCATCATGGTCACGGACACGACCACCATGGGCCTTTTGATGATTACGGCCACGACTTCGATCACCACGACGATCATCATGGTATGATTTTTCGTCCTCACTGTAGAAACAGTTAACAAAGTTAGCAAAAATTAGATTTGAACAGATACGGACAGAACTCACCTAAAAAATCTATAGAAAAAAACTTTTGATAAAATTTAGAAATCATTTTCAGGTCACGAACACTACTGAGCTAGCATTGAAACGATCAAACGTGCTCCCTCTCCTGCTCGAGCTTCAGTTGGGTTCTGTAGACATAAACGTAAAGTAAAAATGTGAATGTAAAAAATAAATACTTTCTATAAGATCTGCAATCAATAGCTCGTGAAAAATTGACATTGCATTTGCAACTATAGAATGGAGTATCCCTGAAAAAGGACGTGAAAGATCCCATGAGCACTATCGGATAAGGGACATTGTGGAAAAGGATAAAGAAAAAGTAATACTTCTCTTCGGCTTTGTGACTCCTTCACATTCCTGTATGAATCTTTTCTGTGCCATCTATTATCCGTAGGACACAGCTTTGCATCGTTCAAGAAACCTCCAAACCTTCAAGAAAGAACCCATAAAGTAGTCATTTTCCTTCACCTTATCGGTTCATAGGTGGCCCAAGACGTCAACAAAAAACATGACGCGCCGCTCTACTAGGTTGGCTCAACGTCTGGACTCTAAGTTAATTCGAGCTCTGGGACATATAGAAGGGAATCACATGAAATCTCTCTTAGAGCAACAAAAAGAAAATATTTCAAAGAAAAAGTGAATAGAAGATAACCGAAGAACTTTTCAGAGTATGTTCGGGAAGTTCACTACACACCCTTTTCCCAAAACAGAGCCATAATAGCAGAAAAGTGAACGAGTTATGGTACCGAGGACTATGAAACCATATAACGTGTTGAACTAAAGGAATTCAACTCAATTGCGAAGAAGCTGAAAAGCATAACCTGAACCTAATCCGAAGAGGACCTGTTCAAATTTAATAACATCAATCACCACACTGATCACTGTCACCTGGGATGAGCAACCATCTTTAATTCGGTACTTCCTGAGTTGGCTTTTTTGATAGTTAATTCGATGCTTCCAAGGATGATCAATGGAAATAAAAGTGTGAAATGACACAGAAAGAGAAGCACAGAGAATATCGTTATAATCGAAAGCTTTCAAACGTGCAGAACAGTTGTGCAGGTGTACATTAGTGAAGAGGAGCAAGAAGAGCCCAAAAGATTAGCACATCACAGTCAACCTTAAGGGGTTCATAGCTCGGTAGCATGATGAACGGAGAAGTCAAGGCTATCTTATGCAGAGCTAGAGACGAAGTAAATCTTCAAATACCATTCATATTAAATTACTTCGCTCTACTCCGAGTGTGTACATACAACAATGTTTGAGAAGAGCGAGACTGGCCAATGTCACACTCGGAGTAGAGCGTCGAGCGATAATCGGTGACGCTCTCGCGCCGCACCGCTCATCGGCTGGGGCCGCGCTGGTCAGCAGTGCGCCATTACCCGATTAATCTTCCCGCTCAAAGGCGCTTGACTCACTACTGCGAAGTATGCAATTATGTTGCTTAGTAAATGATTTCATTTAGGAATATTTTGTTAGAAAAAAAGGATTAGCGCCCCTGCACCGCATAGCAATCAAGGAAGTGAAATTTTGAAAAAAAGGAATCGGGATGTGATTATGACGTTGAACTTGCGATTCTAACCTACAAGAAAATATCGGTGGTAGAAAAATCATGTTTTGGAACGAGGACTGTGGGGTTCAGTCTAGCATTCCCACATTGTTCACAAAAATGGCATAACTTTAATTCGGGCGATTCAACTTGTCAAAAGAAAAAGATTCGTGTGAATTGAAGAGGGAGCGAGAATGAATAAAAATAACGAAATACGAATTTCATGACAAATGAACAGTGTCAGTGCTGGTTGAAATCGCAGTTCTGAGGCACTCACTCCATTTAATATCTCCAACAATTTTCACCAATTATTCTTCTAAATTTGCCATAGTAGTTACTTCGAACATCAATTTCCCGTTAGTTTTCCATGTCATCACTCGTGCCGTAACCGAGGACAGCTTTTTAGAATTGACAGATATGCCAGCAAACCAATAAAACCACAACTAAAATTACTGCCTTGTGAATAGCTAGCTGCTCGGAAGTTTATTTTATTACCTCTGTCGCTAATATAGTAGCTTTCTATCATTAGCCATCAATCCCACCGTCCCACATCAAGGGTCAAAGCCAAACCATCACGCGCAAAGTGACGAGACGCACTGGATGTTCCTTCCCATTCCCTTACAGATTCTTTATCAGACCGCATTATTGTCATCAATTTTTGTCACCAAAAATTCACGCTCCTGCTACGATCCATGGAAGTGCTTAAGTGCAGAGGGTGCACTGATAAGTCGTAAAGAAGTAGGATCTCCCAAGTTTCCGCTCTCTAACATTCATCACCTTTCCTAGTCAGCTGTTAAGCTTATTGTTCTTGTCGGTTTCCGTCAATAACAGTCCCAGGCTCTATTTCTCATCAACCACCACGTTGCTAAGACTTCCCTTTTTTGACGAAAGATGTTATAGACCCAGTAGTCATTGTCCTCTAAAGGTAGTGATCAGCCCATACTAATAGTTATCACTTTTCTGAGTGGTCAGCAGCATTTGCACATGTGCGTAAGCATACTCGTACGTGTGCATGTATGTGTAATGGGTAATAAAAGTGCCTTTTTCCTAATCATACACCCTGAATGTAGCACGAACCTAAAACTATGGTAGAACTGCATCTGGAATTCCTTATGCAAAAAACGTGCTATGAAAGTCACCCAATTAATTCGTACATTAATGTGTTCGTGAGCAAGTAGAACAATAAAAGCCTGTAGGGTCAAAATCACGCTTTGTTAAAGCATATTCAGAACCTGCTGAAGTGGATAGAAAAACTGACCCACAATATTGATTCTTTGAGAGGATCGAAGTATATAAGCTGAATGGTCGCAAGAAAGGTCGCCCTCCACTTCACTGTATTTCGACTCCAAAGATGAGCACCTTTGCCTTCTTTGCATTGGCTGCCTTGATTAACGCCGTCTCAACGAGTGGTAAGACAGAACCCTCATCGGCATCACCCACTGAGATTACAAATCTTCAAGACCTAAACCCACATTCAGAGTACGGCTACGGCTACGGTGAATATGGCGCTGGCCATCATGGACACGACCATGGTTCGAAGTATGGCGCTGGCTACACCAAAGGGTTCGACGAAGGAGGTTACGGCGACTACGGCAGTCACAAGTACGGTGGATGGGGAGCTTACGCCAAAGGGAAGGAGCATGGATCGTATTACGGTAATTATGTGAGCGTATATCAACATATGAAGGAGAACATGAGGATTTTCCAGGGTCTGAGTATGACGACGACTATGGTAAAGGGCACCACGGCAAGGAGCACCACGAAGGCGGTTTCGAGTATCACGACGGTGATCATGACCATGGACATCATGGACATGATCACGACCACCATCACCACCCCCACGGACATCACCACGGTTTCGACCATCATCATCACCCGCATGGACACCATCATGGTTTCGACCACGATCACCATGGTCATGGACACGACCACCATGACCCTTTTGGACATCATGATTTTGATTTCGACCACGACTTCGGTCACCACGACGATCACCACGGTACGGTTTTGGCATTGTAGGAACAGATGAAATGCAGAAAGGGAGGGGTTCTAAGGTTGCAAGCAGATCGAAAGCCAAAATTCAGCTCATGACTCAATGACGATGACAAAGATGAAGGCTTCAAATAAAGCTAAGTATTTGCAGGTCACGACCACTACTGATCCTCTACTGGAACCATCGAAGCGCTCCTCGTGTCGTTGCTCAAAAGTTGACGCTCACAGATCAGATAAAATAAATATTTCTGGAAATTTTTCTCGTATAACCATATTAGTATGATCAGACCAGAATTTAGATAGATTACACATTTACCAAACTCATGCGTCGTCATTATTTGAAATAGCCGGGAAGCCGGGTGAGAGCAGAAAGAAGAAAGAACATAATGAATTTTGGGATCCGGAGGATCGATATCAGCATTACTAAAGCTAAGTGTCGCTTGCTCCCTTAGGACCGAAAATCGTAGAGAACTCAGTCATACATCCGAGTCCTCCCTCCATTATTTTGGCAGTTCTTGGATTGAAAATTAATGTTTTCCATACATATAAGCTATTGCCTCATTGGCATGTATGGGCAGCAACGCCCACATACTGGTACCAGTTAGCCTACGCTCGCTAACGCGTGCACCACACGCCCACTACCGCTTACCTACGACTTGTTAGAGTACCAATATAAACAGTATCCTGTCGCCTGCACACCAATCAAATTTGAGCGCTCTAGGTCCACGGGGACAGGAGTTGTGACTTTTCACACAAACCCGCCCCTTGGGGCGGAGTCCGGTTCTGCCACCCACCATAAGTATTTTTATCCTGCCGCCTGCACACCCATTAAATTTGAACGCCCTTGGTCCATGCGGACAGGAGTTGTGACTTTTCACACAAACCTCGCCCGTTGAGGGCGGAGTCCGGTTCTGCCACCCACCGTGAGTGTTCCCGTCATGCCGCCTGTACACCTACCAAATTTGAACTCTCTAGGTCCATGGGAACCGGAGATGTTCGTATATAAATGTAAGAAACGAGGTGAGCTTCGAGGCACTCTCCGCCCATTGTGGGCGGGCCTCCGCTGACGTCACTTATGCTGGAGACACCTTCGACAATGCTTCCCCTACATCAACTTTTTCCTGCTCTGTTGACTTTCTACAAACCGAGTTATAAATGTCTTCATAAAGCATTGCATTTTTGGAGAACGCCCCACCCATCGGGGGTGGATCTCCCTAGTTGGATTTAACTTACCAATATACACCTCTAGCCTCCTTTACACCCCAGTTTTGAGGCCGTCTTGTGACCGAATGTGAAATCATGGTCCTCAGTACAGCTCATTTCGTTGCACGCCACGCCCACTGTGGGCGGGGCTCCGCCAAGCTGATGTGAGCTTTATAGTTCTCGGGACGTGGCCCACCCATCCCACGCTTGATGCGGTCCCTGCAGGCAGATCTAAAGGAGCTAAGGAATTTTGTGACATACATACGACAGACAGACAGACAGACAAAACGACAGGCGAAGCGCTTTACTGTAAGTAGGATGGGCAGTGTGTATGTACCCGAAAATCGTTGGAGTCCAGATAGCAGCTTGCAAATATTGATCTGGAGAGACCCACAATAGCTTTCATCCATTTCTGTCCCTTCAAATAAGGAGTGACGGTACAGAGCGGAAGACATCAAAAAGCATCCTCCAAATTCTGGTCATCGGCATCCATTTTTAAAACCGTGTGGTGTGGTTTTGAAAATGGCGCGAAAACAATGCTGCGCTCCAATGCTAGAGAAATAAAAGGCACGTAGCCAAGACCGTTTTGCAGCTGCACGCAGGCAGCGGAAGATGCTCCTCGATGCCTTTCGCTTTGTAGCACCCGTAGCACTCGCCTAAATAAGGTCAAAACTGGTGGGGATTATCACAGCAACTGTACCTTATCTGGACTTATAAAGCTTTCTATACCTTCAGAACCAGAAATTAGGGCAAAACGTTCCTATAGGTGTGGTATGTGCACTGTTTTATCTTCGTCATTTCTCCAACATCCCATACGAGGGCTCCTGAATGGGTATGGGCACATACGTGCGTCCGAGGATGCGCGCGGCACATTGCGCGACGAAATTCGTGGCCCTTCGAACGACCCGAGAGCCTGCTATTGGGGCACAAACTTGAAGCAAAGAAGGTTAGTATGGTCAGCTGAACCTAGTGATCAACCCTACCTCAAAATTGGACCCAAAAAGTAGACGCTAAAGTCGTTCAAACCGCCACAAGCTTCGCCGCGCAATTTGCCGCGCGCATCCTCTGACGCACGTAAGTTTCGTCCCCCCTCCTGAATGCTTCCATGTCGTTTAGCAGCCGTAATTACGGAGAAATTGTGGAAAGTGTTGGCGTTTCCTAGCCAATCTTTGCTGCTGCACAGCGTGAAAGGCACTGTTGACTGTAATGACACCTTAACCTTGTGAGAAAGGATAATTTTATGGAGAAAGCATTGTTGGAGCTTTGGCAGTTTGCCGAGGAAATGGAACAATTACATAGTCTTTAAAAAAGCTTGGAATTTTACTGACTCGGCGCATCATTCGTTCGTTTTCCACAAACATAAAAAAGCATGAAATGGTAGATTCGAGCCGACATTCAATATTTACCATTTTACGCTGTTCAGCATCCAGGAATTTGTAAGTAAGAAATCTGGTTACCCACATTTCCAACAGTTATTGTAAACACCTTCGCAGTAATAACGACATTAGCTTACAAATACTAATATCCCTGTAGCTGCCGAAAATATGTTGTTTCCGATGGCAACATCGAGAAAAGAACTACAATCTGTTCAGGTCTATTCTGTTGGTATCGCGTAGTATCCAAAACCTGCTACGAGGAATAAAAAAACCAATGAATCGCATTCCAGCAGTTACATAAACAGGTATATAAACAGAGGACTGGCCACCCACAACGTCCTCAACGTCCACTTCGGTTCCGGATATGAATGCTCTCACCTTCTCCACGCTAGCAGTCCTATTGTCGGGCATCCTCGCTTCGGTTGGTGGTAGGTTTTATGGCCTTACCAGACGCCCATATCCAGGACATTGCATGTAATGTGTTATATTAATGTATTATACATATTTATACATAACAAAAAGATGTTATGCTGTCCGTTTTTCAGATCACTACGAGTACGGCTACGATGAATATATCGTTGGCCGTCATGGACATGACCACGGTACAAGCTATACTAAAGGCTCTAACAAGGGAGAACATCGTGGCCACGAAAGGCACAAGTACGACCGTTGGGCGAGGCACACCAGAGGAGAAAAACACGAGTTGCGCTACGGTAAGTTTCTGTAAGTGAATCAATCCCTGAAAAAGACGGCTTCTGTGTTTTAAGGAACTGACTGGGATAAAGACCACGGTAAAGGACACCCCGGCAAGAAGCATTACGAAAGCGGTTACAAGTATCAAGATGACATCCATGAAAATGGGCATCACGACCACGATCACTACGGTTATGGACGCCTCCATCATGATTTAGGCCACGACCATCACGGTCACAGGCGCGATCATGGTGATCATTACGGTTCCGGGCACGGACATGGCTTCAATCACAAACTTTTTGGTCCTGGGCACGACCACAGCTTTGATCGCGATCATTCACAATTACGGACAGGACCATCACAAGCCTTCTGGCTATCGCGATTCTGATTTCAACCAAGGCCTTGTCCATCAAGGTGATCATTCCGATGAAGTGACAGACATTTTCTTCTGGATTTCATTCAATGGGTAAACATCTAAATTAATGTTGAAATCAGTTCTCATTCCTATATAATAAAATTTAACCACCAAAAACTGAGGCGATTTCAGATGACCATCTTATCTGAATTTTCATCCAAACCATCTAATCGTTTTCTATTTTCTGTTGCATTGTTGATGGCTCGAACGTTGACATTGGTCTTTCGAGAATTGGGTATATTAATAAATATTTCATTCACAAAAACGTTCCGTTGGATGTACCCGCATGGGCTTAGCTAGGTATTAAGACAGATTAGATTCCAAAGTAAACATAAACTTTCAACGGAGAAGTATGAAGCCGTCCAGAAAGTTTCGAGAGAGTCTATATCCTTTCCTCCCGGAATGTTCTGGAAGTTTTCATGGGGCTGCTATAAGAACACTACCAACTCGTGGGCTTAAGCATACCCGAGTTCTTCCTCATTGTTTATTTATGACTGTAATGGTCGAACTCTCTCCCCAGTTTGATTAATCAAGTTTGAGCGCTTTTCTGAACCATACGTGCAAATAGATGGACTTCATGTCGTACGGGGTACGATTTCTCAGCATTATTTAGCTTCATTTCTTCCTACCGCGAAGTATCCTTTCTTTTCGCTTTCAAAACATCGAAATTGTTAGGTTCCCGACCTGTTCCCCCTTTGAACAGAATTCTAATAATGGTTAATATGGACGATATCTTTTAGTTGACACCTACCTTTATGACTTTCTTCTCGCCCTCCTCGCCCTCGGGGCTTTGAACCTATTCCCTCGGAACTTCGGATTTATTCAATTTGCATCTTTTCCAACATCCAAGTAGATGATTGATGGTATAAGGAAGAAAAACAGTAACCATACAAATGATGAAAATACTTCAAAAAACAATACAAAATAGTGGTAAAAAAGTTACCTTGAGTTCATGACGAACCTCTTGATCCTCGTTTTCGAGCTTAGAAAAAAATCTAGAGGGAAAATTTAACTTACCTGGCGTCTGGCTGTCATTCCTTCTCTTCAGTATCGTGGCTCTCCTTTGGCATTTTTCCGGAGATATAATTTTTCTTCGGGATTCCCAATCGATTTGCTGATTAGCGTTCAAAAGCTTACTGAATCAATGCAGTAAGGTTCAATACATTAGAAAATTGCAGTAAAAACGCTCTAACCATAAGAAATTAGCCAAAGAAGACTGAGGATCTAATCGATATCGAAGGGTTTGAAAATGAACGTGCCGAGGAGTGAAAATCGATCGAAGTGATGGTTGCAGTAGGTCAAAAAGGAGTCCGCTGGAAGAGACCGGTAAGGGAGCAGATCAACATGAGACGAACTTTTCTACCTTCAAAAGCTGAGTTAAATTTTACCTCGGAATTGCTCTGTTTCACCACTTGCCAGGATGAGCCATGCCTATGACCGCATTCAAAACTACAGTAACGATTGATTTGATTGAGCAACAGAATATTTGAAAGGTTGCTATGGTCAAGATGAGTATCAGTGCTTTTATCACCCTTAATAGATGTGAAATTGCCATGCTGAGGACAACAAAGTCGGTTAGAGCCGATCCATGGGCATTATATTCGGTGAAGGACACATACACTGGTACACTATGCCGGGAAACGTTAGACAAACTGCTAGGACGAAGAATTTGAGACCTCAGTGTGCCCTACCTGGGCTGCACCTTCAGTAACCTCTCATTTCCAGTCAATCACCACTCCTTCAGTCCATTACCTTATAAACCCAGCTCATCCTTGTAAAAGGATCCTCCAGATAAGGAGACATGCTTTTGGCCAGTGGACAAAGTACGAGATGACTTCATCATCTTGATTTCATACAGAATCTTTACGGACTGTTACGTTCTCGCCAAACCGCTCTCTGCAGGTGTGGTCACCAGCTTATTCCATTCCAAAATGATATTGTACTGTGCGTCATAAATAACTAAACGGTGTTTTCAGAATGCTTTATTGGCCCGCTCAATAACTTCAATTGGGCAAATCGTGTTGTTCGCTTGTAGAACGAGCCGGAAGAGCATCAATTGAAGCTCGTCTCCTTCTCTTCGCTTGAATCCTTTCCTTCGTTTCTTTTCTGCAGCACCTGTAAAAGACATGATATGGTTGACCTATTCACAAATTTTCCAAATAATTCAAAAACTCTCGTGTAGAGGAATTCCCCCGAGCGGCGGCTCCTCATTGGAGAGANACACCCTATCACACTCGTTCAATGCCTACACACTGTTCAGCAACAGATCAGGAAGAACAACGGTACCTTGCTGTTCAAAAGATTCAAATGGCTCATATGGACGTGATTGTGTGGTACGCGCGGACGGTATGGTTCGACCCATCTATTGAGAGGCATTTCTGCAACCTTCTTCATGGCATTTTCTAGCAAATCATGAATCTGAAAACTCCTTCTGTTGATTTTCTTACTATGACTTCTAGACTTTGTACCAATCTTACTATAATTATGGTTGGCAGAAATTGTATAGTCTACAGCTATGAACAATTTGATTTCGGAATGCGCCATGCAATTGACTTCTACGCAGAATAGAAGCGATTACAAGTGTCCCTTAGGAATGGTATGTAGAAATAAATCACAAAAATAGGTTTTTGCCTTTTCAGACTAGCGTTATAGCAGGTGGTCAGAGCAGTATTTGAAAGAAGAATTCTCCTGACCATGTCTGTAACAATGGCACTACCTATCAACCCTCTTCTCCTGCTTCACCGATGCCTTAATGGGTATCGATTACTGATGCGTAAAATCAATGACCATTTCGAATCAAATGTTCTTGTAAAACGAGAAGATGAGTCTCAAGTGGAGCAGCTGGAGAAGGGTTTTCAGATCAAAGCTGGAGGAATGTGAATAAATTAGGTAATTAACAACCTCAGTAATTTGAGCTTCGTTTGCACGCAATCTGCCGAGTATCTCCCATTTTGCCTTGACAAGATCTCTCTTCAATGAAGACATCTTTTTCAACGCTCTCCATAACGATCCTCTAAGCGGCATTCCTTCGAAGGCATCCTTCTCGTTCTTTTGTAAAGGTCTCGTAGGCTTGATGATAAATGTTTCCTTCTCCTCCCTTCCTGAAGTTATCTTAGGCGTGATAATGTGTGTTTCCTTCTCCTCATCTTTCTTCACATGCGGTATCTAAACGACATTTCCTGTAGTAGGTTGAAGTTTCTCTTCTCTTGAGTACTTACCCAAATATTTTCTTCAACTTACCGTAATCCGGATACCTCGCATCCATCCATTGAGAGGTTCCGCGATATGCAACGATTCCTCAGAGGTTTCACAGGCCACTGTTGAAATGATCGCAAGAAGAAGTAGAGCAGTTCTCATTCTGTAAAACATTGAAATCAAAGCGACACATGGAAATATCGAAGAAAGGATGTCGATTAAAAGTCATAGACTGCCGTAGAAATGTCGCTCAGCCTGGGATGCTCAAGCGAACAGTTGCTATACCGGTCCTAGAGCCGTTAATTTATATGGACCATTTTGTTGTCAATGCTCTAGCGCATATTGGAATGAATCACTTTCAATTAAGATTTCAAAATGATTTCATAAGAAGCTTCATAGAACGTTATACATGTAAACAAAACATTTTCTCCTACTTCCACCTCGAATTATTTTCATTCACGTGTCGTGTTTCTGGAGGTTTCCTCTATAGCAGATTGTTGGTCCCTCTGAACCTTCTGATACCTCTAAAACTTACCGACGAGTATCAAATTATGAGTCTCTTGCACGCGAATCGTACTTCGAGCTATCCAAAATCATCTTATTGACCCCTTCCTAGCTTCCAGAATACAAAGGCGTTCGAAAAAAAACAACTGTGGAGCACTGAACTCCACCAAAACTCTCACGTAGGATATGCCAGTGAGTAGGAATGTTCTCATACTACTGCGTTGACAAAATCTGAAAAACCGAAAGAGGAAGTCTTAGCTCTTCCTCTGATAAGTTCCAAAAATTCAATTCATGACTGTATTTTAAATCTTTACAAGATTCAACATCGGAGATGTATGTGTAAAGAGATTGAAATCGACGTATAAGCTTTACATTGACACCGTTTTCGAAAAGCCATACGCAGTTGCCGCAAATCCTTGTAAGGCCTATAAGCTCACTGCACTTGATTTCAGCCCTCCTTGCCAGAGATTCGCCTGTAGATTTCATCCTATTTGCTCAGTTCGATGTTGCAGCTCTAAAGCTCTACAGCTTTTATGATGTAAAACGCCATAAAAATATGAATTGATATTGCAGCATTGTAGTGAAAAAGACTTAAAAGTCAATACACATTGCATTAATTGTTTTGTTGGCTGCACCTTTTAAAGCCTTTCTTTCACATCGCGGATTCGCCTTCGCCTGACCCCTCTTCTCGATGCTATCCTCAACTACTGCCTTCATTGAAGGCTCCATGTTCCAACACTGAAAACTGGAGCAGAAAATCTAGACGTGAACCTGTGCATATGTAAATGTATAATATTTGGCCATACATAATTTCAAAAAAAAATTCATTTCAGGATTTAGATATCACACGTACTATTTGGATCGCAGAGTGTTGAAAACAACCTGGCCCTCTACGGTAATGGCGACTGGCACCATCCTCAGGTGCTCTGATCACCACAGTCTACGTAATCCTCGATGACAGCAAGTTTTAAATGGACTACACCACCTTCTCGTTGCCATCAGTCATTTCTTCCAAACTACCTTCAAGTACGGTTTAGCCGCTGTACAAGTAAAGGGCATCACGAATCTTGACATACAGAAGTGTAAAGTATTCCTGAAGGCATAGGTAGATTTTGTAATATGTTCCTTTGTGTAACATTTTCTACTCCAAATGCTCAGATCCTATGACTGCGTAGTCGTTCAACGGCTTTTAGAGTTGTCCACCATGGATCGCGGAGAGCAATCACCTTTTTGAAATCGGTGGAGTGACAAGAAAGTTAGAGTGCATGCATTTTTAGGAGAGCTCAGATGGCGTTGGCGGAACGAAGGACAGACGCCATCGACTGTAGATCATCGGGAGCGATCGCAGAACCCATAAATGAAAAAATGAAGATCAAGATAAAAGTTTTTTGTAGGATTTTAATGAAGATTCATATGTTTCTACACCGAGATTTTCATGCTGAACTTGAAAATGAAATTCATTTCTCAATTAATGTACTTAGAGAAGGGATTATGGAACCGAACGGCTTGACGGTGTCAACGCTTCAAATACATAAAGCAGAGGCAAGCGCCCAGTAATATGATGGCACTTCTGCCTGTTCCCTAGTCACCGAACCGAAATGACTGGAAAAGGAGAACGCTGGCTCAATCCTTTTCTTGTGAAAATGATGACTCCGGCTCATCCCATACCTTCCATGACAAGCAATTATTAAACAATTCAAATCAAACTGTCCAATGTTTAGGGCTTTTAAAGATACAGTAATCATGGAAGCCCTATAGTTTGCTATGGCAAGCAAACTGCCCAGTTTTATCTGAGTTTGAAATGTCATGATTTTTCGTGGAATGTTTGGATGGTGAAGGTGAGCTGAACAGCGTCCAAAAGTCTTCTGCATTCCCTATATGGTGATGAACACTATCAAAAGGCTGATTTTGTTTTCGGAAAGCTTTATTGTTCTGTTGAACAGCTTCAATTAGACAAATGTTTTTGAATCTCGTGGAATATTGTTGGTGATTAACAGCCAGTGATTCACTTTCGCCACCCTCCTGAAATATGCAATATACACCATTGAAGTTGCGTCAATCAGACTGTCTAAGGAACCTAGCCACTCTGATTGCGATTCTAAGAAATCCAGCCTGAAAACCATAGGATGGAAGCTGGATCGGAAAAAGCTAATATTGAGGAATGAGCACCGATGGAGACGCCCACTAGCTCCTACTCGGCTTTCATTGTCAGATCGGAAGTGTATTAGTACTATTCTGACATTACCACGGCATACTACGGAAGTCACGATTTCAACCCACCATATTGTTCGTATTCGTAGAGCTTTTCCATTCTACCAATGCCTCTGGGGGTACACGGATCACGTCCATCTGGACCATGCTGTGGACTACGCTGTGGCTGTGGACTAGGCCTATTCCGATTTGAATATGGTTGTACTGTGACTTGCTTTAAAGCAAAATTTAGCACATTGTAAACCTAAAAAGCCTATTTGTGATCGGGAAAGAACTAAATTACACAATACATTACTCATACGGCAAAGGAACAGATAACAGGTAACGTAAAGATTATCGAACCCATTCTGATGAACACCATAGACTCGGCGAACGATTATTAGGTTAGTTTGGAGAGATTCTTTACTATATATTAGGTTAAGTCATAAGTCTGCGGACAAAATGATAGCGTTGAGTTCGAGAGATCATAACTCGGGAAAGAGGAGACGAAAATGGACGGGCAAGGCATTGCTAGATAGAGTATGAAAAGTTCTTCAAAGTACATGTTAACGAACACACCTGCCTGTTTCCTTTCCTGCAA